AACTAAATATAAGTTCAATCTTCCTAATTTGAATTTTTGCATTAATTGAATGAAGTAAGCAGTTCAGTAACTAAATTTTAATAATAAAAATTCTTAGTTCTGAAAAAGATAAAAAAGCATGCACACATCTACGTTATACATACGTAAAACATTCATTTGATTATCCATGTAGTCACCAGCACTGTTTATTCAAAAGTGCTGAACCTGACGTTAAAAGCCTGTCAGTAGACTATTCCCTCCAATTCGGAATATGCTCAGTATGGTACCCAAAACACAGAAATCTGGTTTTGTGCATAAGCTTTAGTGATATTTAATCATATCCAGGCACTCAATCTATTGCATCAGAAATCCCAGAGCACCGTTTTGTCACAGGTGTTGCCTCAGTAAAAATAAACCAGAAAAGCCTGACTTATGAGTGTTCTCACATTCATCCGTAGACTAGGATAACTTCACAGGTAGATACTTTCAAGGCCTTCCACATTTAACCAGAGCAGCAAAACACTCAGCAGCACTTCTGAACAAACTGATCACACTTTTATGAGTATAAATATGGCAATTAAGAACCTAAAATGAAAAAGTTACTCTTCAGCTAGAATTGGCTAGTATGTGTATCATCCGGGTAGCTCTCAGTTAAGACATGAATGCACCTTTAATAAACCATCTTAAATTGACACTCAGAATCTGAAATCTTCTGAGCAGAGGTGACTGTAAGACAGAAGCAGTGTGACAACAGCAGAAATTAATATCCAAAACTAACACCTGCTGGGAAGTACAGTTCTAAAATTCATTTTACTTCAGAAGGGTTTTTGTTTTCTTTGGAACTTCAGCAAACTTCAAAGTAAATTGAAAAAGTAAAATCTGCGTTTCTGAGAGACTGTGCCTCACCACAGAACCCCCAGCTGGAGAGCTGCACTCAAACGCAGAAGAATGAAGTTCAGCTTTTAGGACCATGAACATTACATGTACTGTTTGTTTGAACAAACAGGAAGGACAAATCAAGGTGAAAAAACACCCAGACATGCCATGCATTTCCTGAATTCAGAAGAAACGCAAACTAAACTCGTATTCATTTCAGTTAAACAGTGTTTTTTTTTTGTTTTTTTTTTTTTACTAGAATGAAAATTCTTATTGAACTCGCTGTAGCTTTTCATAAGCTTACTTGCAAAATATTGAGAAACATTAAACTTTCATCAAAATAGATTTGTACACAATTTTATATAGATACACACACACACATACTATTTTCCTCCTCCAATGAATGTAAATAGGAAAAAAGCACGCACAGACCTCTGGCTTCCATGGTTATATTTCAGCCATGGGAATGCCCAAAGCATGCTTTTGGGAAAAATCAGTACTAGGGATTACAGATGTATTTCTAAACTTTATACCCACGTTCAGTTGTGAGTTTCTTTCTTTATTTGGTACTGCCTACCAGAGAATAAAGCATCCGTACCGCAAGACTGAGCTGGAATTCAGGACGGTACGCAGTCAGCAGTAACAGGTACGCTCTTCTAGAGAATTAGGTTATCTAAAAAAGGAGCCTGGGTTCTCTTTAAGGAGAGAGAAGTAGGCTACTGCATTAAAATGCCTAAGTTAGACAGTGTAACATGCACTTCTAATTGTTCCCCAGTGATTCCAGCGCAAGGCAATAATCCCTTTCCTATGTGGAGTACCTGTAATGGTACAAGCAGTGTGACAGAACTAAAACTTGTAGACACAATTTCACCTGTGAGAGAGCTTTAGTCAATGCATTTTATGTTATCTTAAAATCTTAAGGGGGAAAGAGAAGCTTCTTACAGAAAATCACAAAAGCTGACCGTTGATTTATACATGACCAAGTCAAGCCAGTGTTGTCATGATATTTTAACTACTTCTATTCTAAAAAACACAAAAACAAACTAAAATTGCCAATGCGTCTTCATAATGGCCCTAACCAAAAGCAGCCTTACTGTAACCAGTATGGCCACTGAGAATGCAGTTTCACATGGGATATCCTTCACTTCTAACTATGAAGTACTGAAAATGTGCTTTCATCTGTTCACTGTATGATACAGTTATCAGTAATAAATTATATCAGTTGTCCCTGATACGTTAGTTCAATACCAAGAAATATTGCTTTCATCACAATTAGCATCAGCTCTACATTGGGAACCCCTCCCCCAAGCACCAAAGAAGTTCCAAAAGGGTAAGCTTTGAATTTTCTGTACAATTTCTGTGCTGATCATCTCACTGACACTGAACATCAAACTTTGCAAAACTAGAGAACTTTCACACATGCTTAGCAGAACATGAGTGACCTGCAGAAAAGTCCATCTGCGAGAGCACTGGCTTTTCTACACCTACAACTGCTAAGCCTGGGCTAACCTGAAAGCTCTAAAGCAGCTAACTGAAGATTGGAGGAGTGGTGCTTTACCCCCTGCCATGCAAAATGATGACTACAATTAAAACACTGACACGTGGTCACATGGAGAGGTATTCTGCAAAGCTGTGAATGATGCAGTATGTGTTGAACAGGCCTGTGAGGCTGCAGTCACTCTCTGGAAGCTTGAAAGTAACGGGGAACTTGTACATACGTGTAAGTGCTCTGCAGCAAGACTTTCAAAATGCCTCAAGTTTAATGACTTGTTTTTGAGTGTCTTCAGAAACGGCTACTGTACCTTTAAGAATCCTCAATCGAAATACCTCAGCCTTTTATGGAAGGAGACAAGCACAGTACAAATTAACAAGATGGGTGTTTGACAGCACCACAATTGCCAACACAAGTCCTGATGAAAAGAAGCACGAGCTCTAAACTCTATTTAACTTTTCATTGTGACTTCTAAAATTTAGCAGTCATTACAAGGAATCAACCATAACAATAGTATAAAAACTGAAAAATAAGAACACCAATTCAATGTAGCAAAATAATTTATGGAAGCATCTAATGTTTCCACAATAGCAGTAGGAAGCCTTCAAATAGGAGTATTTTTACTGATTTCTGCAGCTACGACTTCATACACGCAGGAGAGATTGACAGATGTAAAACATAAGTACAGTTAGACAAGCAGCCCTATCTAATTGGTGGCTCTGGTGTTCTCAGAGAGAGGAATAATGAAGTGCACCCATCAGCTCCCTCCCCAAAAATCACAAAAACTTAATAAATTTATTTTCTAGAATAAATTTCGTTTCTAGAACCAAATTTCAAGCTTTTTTCCCTACCCTAATATATTGGAATGCTTTAAATTATAGTTGGAATGCATTTTTGTTTAGACAAAAAATGAATTCATCTGTATTAGATGACCACAGCAGATGCTTGTTACAGTTCAAAGCAAGCATCATCCTGCCTTGTAAAGCATGCTGAGGAAGTAAAAATATATTCACCACTTGTACTTGCTGCCTATGAAGTCCAGTGGATACATCACCACAGTTTCCAGACATGATGGTGTTCGTGTCTTTAACCCAATTCCTTAGGCTAGTATCTTGAAAAGACACTTCAGTGTTAACTTGCAACTCTTCCTGAAGCACACTGCAAAGCACTCCCTATCTGTAATCTGTTTTTCTTAGTTGATCAGGTTGAAAATGTAAAGAATGGCATCTTTTTTTTTTTTTTTTTCCATCTTTTCATTGATGAGAAAAAAAAAAAAAGACTCAACCAAGATCTTCCAGCTAGCAAAGCCACTTAATGGAACAGGTCTTCACAGAATGGGTAAATCCTCCCAAGCTTTCATGCCCAACTTCAGCATGGCCCAACCCCACTGTCAGGGGTGCCCCATGAATACTGCCAGTATCAGCACTCACTCAGGCAGTCAGCACATTGCTTCTCATGCCAAATAGAACTCCACCACGGAAATGCTAAGAAAAATAGAGACCTTGGTGGGAAATCTGCTCCCTAAGAACATCCTTTTGCAACCACTACAGCCACATTAGGTTCAGGGCTAACTGATGGGAGTACATCTCTACAAGTTCAAGTATGATCACAACGATGACGAATCAAAACTTTGAATCACTAAGTGTGAGACTTAAGAAAACAACTATAATAGCTGTATGTTTCTTTACCTCCACATTCTAATTATTTTCCTTCCATGTAATACTTTTTACTTTAGCCAGAATACAGTAGCTCTGTGTAAGACAGACTGAAGCTGATACAGGCGTGAAGAAAATTAAAGAACGTACAGTATTCAAGGACTAATCTACTACTTTAAAATGCACAGTTTCTAAATCAAGTCACCCAAGCTCTTTTTTGTAACTTAAAAGAGTAGCCTAGAAATTGTTTGAATGGTAACTGAGATTTGGCATCCAAAATAATACAGTTTCCAGCTATCAAGAAATGGTAACAAATAAGGGAATCCAGGCAAGCGCATAATGAATAAAATGGGATCCAAACAACAATGGATGAGGTTGCAGTTAAGTGACTTACCTGAAGCCACACAAGAAATCGCTGGCAAAATTCAGAATTCATAGTACTGACACATCTGCCTGTTACGCACTTCTAAATCACAAGGCTTCTAGCCCAAGCATAATAGCCAAAGCTTAATATTAAAGTTGCTAGAACGCAGAGGCAGCAAATCTTCCTAATACACAAAGATCAGACTAGAAGACCAGAAAAAGACTTCCATGATTAAGATTCAGAGCTGCCTGTGAGGTTTTGCAAGAAAATCTGTGTACAAGGATAAGCGAACAAAAATAAAGAAAGCCACACCCAACTCTAAATCTTCAAGGGATTTATAAGAATGTGAGTGTTACGATAAGCAGAAAATACTTGCTGGATTAAACATTTCTGCTCTTCTGTTGCTGCATTTCCATCTTCAGCGATAGACAATATTCTTAGTTAACTGTAAGGATCATGTACTGCTCAGTACACTGAAAAGCTTGGTGCTAGTTGCTACCAAGAGTAAAAATTATACATGAACACAAATTCCAAACAGAGTATCAGGACAGTAACCACTGCTGAATTCTACTTTAGTGAATGCAGACAGATGCTACACAGGACTATGAACACACCAGTTACATACCATCCTTACCTGCAAGGGAAGGAGAGTATTACTGTTGTTGTCAGTTCGGAAAACATTATCTTCAATCCATGATTTTGGAGTCAGTGATGGAGTGGAGCGAGTAAATTTAGGTGGAGCTATGACATTACCAGAAAAGGGTTTCTTCAAAGGAGAGATCTGGTTCATAGTTCCTGGAATTCCCATGTTTCCAGTTCTACGATGGTCTCTGCCATGCATTCCTCCCCAGGATATATTTCCTGTGCTCCAGCCACTACTCTGATTGCTCCAGGGTGACTGCTTCAGAAGAGGCTAAAAAGAAAGATTAATTCATATTATTTTGAAAATAATTGAAAACGATTTTTCTACTTAAGAGCAAAGAAACACTAAGCAGTCAATGCTCGAAGATTCCTATAAACTTCTTTTTTTCTGATGTTGTATTATTGAGGCCAAGTAAAAAATGTAATACAGCCACAAGAAGTTGCCTTATTGAAACTCTCCCTCCTCCACAGGCCCTGTACTGGCAATTTAGGTTTTCATCCTCACAGGAACTGCCAGGATCCTTCATACGTATGCAGAGAGCAATCCCAGGTTTAAATACGGTGTTACAAAAAGGATCAGGCCATTAATCACCTCACTGATACACTATTTCATATTTTATAGTAAGATATCTGGAAAAAATAACACAAGAATTTCAAGTTGGTCATTTTATGTCAGTGACAAGGAATTCAAAAATTAAAATTCTGCTTCATTTTTTTCCCAATATTTTGAGTATTGCCATCTCAGTACCGTCAAAGTATTACCATATAAGAGCAAAAAAGGCACTGATCACTGTGCAGAGAATCTGTTTGAAGAGCTATCTTAACATTTCCACATTAAAATGCATTATTCTGAAGCCACTGCTCAAGTATTTTTGGAGTCATATACTGGACTATCTCTGGAATTCCGCAGCTCACTCTCTCTTATAAAAAGATTCTTCCTCCTACTTAGAAGCGGTACGAAGTATTTCTGTACCTCAACCACTATGTTCCTCAATATTAAAAATGTAAGCTGTCTTCAGAGCAAAAATTCTACAGGGAAGAAGTTTTGGTTCCTACAACTCGTGCTAAGGACAGACCCCGGCAGCCGCTGTACCACCAAGAGGTGGACCCACTGAGCCCAACCGACGGCACAGAGAGGATTTACCTTCGGTGTTCTAAACCCGACTCCTGGAGGAAAGGCTTTTCTCACCACACAAACGGGTGCGGGGTGGATGTACTAAGTAAAGTTTAAAGCTGAATGCAGCGCTTCCACCTCAAAGGCTGCAAGTAGCCCTTAGCTTGTAATTTCAGTAACTTAAACATTTAAGGCACATTGACATGTTATGGTTTATACAGAACTTTCTGAAGACAGAGAGAGCTGTAATACCCTCTCCGCATGAAAACAAACAGAAAAACACTAAGGCCATTTTTGGTCAGGTAATCAAGCAAACATCCCATTCTGTATAATTACAGATGATTACGCTGTAGAACTTGAACGCTTCGGCTGGAATTTTGGGAGAGGCCAGCGTTGTGTTGTGAAACAAACCTGAAGAGAAAATGCCAAACGCCAGCATGACTCTAACACTGCCAAGCTGGGCTGTCACGGGCACAGCCTCGGGCTGCCCACAACTGATAACGATCGAGAAAGCTCTCCTATGGTGCGGGGACGCCTCTGAAGAGCGCACAGATACTGAGGAGAACCACCCCTGCACCACCACAGTCCAAAGTAACTCTGTGACACCTCAGACAGGATCACTGCATCGGGGTTATGAAATAAATTCCGTACAAACCCACCTCCACTGTTTTTTTGGTTTTGTTTTTAACGGACAGGATTTGAGTTACAACGAATGAGAAATGAGGGAGAGGCCCGTGCCACCCAGGCCTTTAGGGCCAGCAGGCGACGAGCGCGGCTCTGCCGCTCTCTGCCTTCCAACAATCACTATCCTGTTCCAAGAAACAATACCAACTTCCAGCCGAACACCAAACTGTCACAGCACGCTTCGTTACAACCAGCAGCGAAGCCAGGCAGCCCGAAGCACTGCCCCGTCCGCGGGTGCAAACCCACGCCATTTCGGGATGGGCGCTGACAGCCCCGACGGGGCGCGCGGTGCCCGCAGAGCTGCGGGCGGCCCCGGGCAGGGCGGCCAGGGAGCGGCGGGGCGGCCGGGAGCTGTCACGCGCATTGTTCGGGGCGCGCCGCGTTCTCCGCATGCCGACGGGGAGGGAGCGGGGTGGGGGAGAGGAATATTCCGCCGGCGAGGCCCCTCCGTGAGGCGAAAAGGTGTCTCCGGGGGCGCGGGCGCGACGCGCCCCTCCACCTGCCCGCCGAACGGGTGGGGATCGGCGGCCAACTGCCTCCGCCCGAGCGCCGCCGCCTCCCCGCGGGGCCGCAGGTGCCCTCCCGCGGCGCGGCGCCCCCCGCTCCGCTCCCGGTACCTGGTGGTGGTTGTAGGAGTTCCGCTGCTGCAGGAAGGCGGCGGCGGCGGCGGCCGCCTGGTGTTGGTGCTGGAGCTGCGGGCTCACCGGGGACCTCCGGTTCTGCTGCTGTTGCTGCTGCTGAGGTAAATTCATCTGCGGCGGCGGCGGCGGCGGGGGGGCGGCGGCCGAGAAGGGGCTGCTGAAGGGCCCGGCGCACGGGTTGTGAGGAGACACCGGCGAGAAGCTCTGGAAGAAAGCGGGGTTGATGGACGACGGGATCCCCGGGTAGAAGCTGGTCTCGGACTCCGGGCTCGGCGGCGGCATGGCGCTGATCTGCCCTCCGCCGCTGGAGACCGGAGGCTGCTGCGTCTGCTGCGGAGGCGGCGACGAGGTCTGCACCGACCAGGGGGTGCCGAAGCCGGGCAGCGGCGGAGGAGGAGGGGAAGCCGCCGAGGAGGAGCCGCCCCCGCTCTGGTGATGGGGGCTGGGGATCTCCGGGCTCTGCAGGCTGCTGAAGCCGGAGCCGAGCCCGCCGGGCAGGAGGGTCCCGGGGCTGCCCAGCAAGTGGCTGTTCGGGGGGGACTCCATGGGGGGCGGCTCGGCTCTCGCCCGCGGACGAGGAGGAGACGGCGGCGGATTCACGCAGGAGGCGGCGGCGGCCACCCCCACATCGGGGTCGGCGGGCGCCGGTCCCCCCGCGCGGGAAGGGGCGCCCCGCTCGGAGCCCGCCCGGCGCTCGGCGGCGCTGAGGGGCCCGAGGCTCGGCGGCGGCTCCGGGGGGCGAGCGCCGAGGAGCTGGAGCTGCTGCTGCTGCTGCCTGCGCTCCTGCTGCCGGTACTTGTCAGTGGGGCGGCTGAACTGCTGCTGCTGCTGCTGAGGGGGGTGGCGATGATAGTCGGGGGGGTGGCTGCCGCCGAGCTGGGCTGGGCTGAGCGGCGGCGGCTTCAACTCTTTCCTCTTCTGGCTCGGCGGAGGAGGAGGCGGCGGTTGCTGCTGCGGTTGCTGCTTGTTTAAATCCTGCTGGGGGCCGAGAGCGGGTTTAAAGTCGGAGGAGGGGTGGCCGGGAGGGGGGTGTCCCGGCGCGGGGCCGCTGCCCAGCCTCTCGCCGCCCGGCTGCTGCTGTGTCACCACCGGCGGCCGCTCCTCCTGCGCGCCGCGGGGATGCGCCGGGAACAGTGCGGAGGAACCGGGCGCGGTGGGTGAGAAGGGGCAGGAGGAGGAGGAGGAGGAACGGGAGGCGGCTGCCGGCGAGGGGAAGGACCACGGCGGCCCGGGGCTGGGGCTGCGGCTGGGGGCCGGCGGCGGGCCGGGGTCCCCCATGGGCCGGCGGGGCTGCCCCGGCCCCACGGAGAGACAAAGGTAATTAACCTGGGGCGGGGGCGAGCGCTGCCGCAAAGCGCTGAGCGAACCTAAAAATAGCCACTTCCTACAATAAAGCCTTTTTCCTCGTATAACCCCCGCTACGCTACATACGGAAATCGGAGCGTTTTGATAATAATAAATAACCCTTTTTTGTCAGCCCTCCCCACCCGCCCCCCTCTCCACGACAACCCCTCCTCTAATTTTCACGCACTGCCCCCAAAGGGGCACCCCTTCCTCTCGCAGCCGCGCCCGCGCCCCGGGGCTCCCCGAGCCGCTACACAACACCGCGGGGCGCTCCCGTCCCCGGCCGGCCGCCGGTCACCGAGCGGGGCGGGCGACAGCCGGCCGTACCCCAACGCTCCCGAGAGAGACTAACACTCCTCACCGCTGCCCCCGCCCCCGATAGCGGCCGCCGGCCGGCTGCAGCCCCCTTAAGAATGCCGGAACATCCGTCATAGTCGCGTCACGGTCCCGCCCTCCGTCCGACCTTGGTAATGAGCCGACGGTCCCGCCTCCTCATGAATAATGTACGATCGCGAGGGAGGGGATGCGCTCGTTCCGCCGAACGACGAGCGCTGAAGGTGGGCGCTACCATTTAAAGGGCGCGGGGAGAGGAGAGGGCCTTTAAGCGACTCCCCGAAAGTGCGCCGGCCTTCGACGAGGCATCTACCCCGAAGCCGGAAACAACCGAAATGGAACCATTTTATTGTGTCCGCGGCAGCCGGTGCTTCCGCGGAGGGAGGGAGGTGCTGGGCACCCGAGCCGTGGTTTCTTCCGCCGCCCCGTGCCGCACCGTCCGGCGGGCGGGGCGCCCCGCTCCTCGTTTGCATTGACGCAGGCGGGCGGGCCGGGCCCTGGCGGCACGAGCTGGGGGATGTCGAGGTTGGGCCTGGCCCCGGGCTGTGTGCTGGGCTTCTGCTGTCAACTCATCCCCACCGTGCCCGCTAACCGTGTCCTTCAGTGCCACATCTCCACGTTTCTTGAGAACTGACTCTGCCGTCTCCCTGGTCAGCCTGTTCCAAGGCATCACCGCTCTTTTTGAGAAGAAACTTTTCCTTACGTACAACCTGAACATCGTCTACAAAACCAGTGCACTCAGCTACTCCTCTTAAGGCCTGTACTCCAGACCCTTTGCCAGCTCTGCTGTCCTTCTTTGGACACGTTCTAGGAGACCTCTTTGAGCCACGTAACCCATCCACTGACCCAAGGAAAACCAAGGCTAAGGCAGGCCTGAGGTATCACAGATCACAGAATCACAGCATGGCCAGGGTTGGAAGGGACCTCAAGGATTATGAAGCTCCAACCCCCCTGCCACAGACAGGGCCACCAACCTCCCCATTTTATACTAGACCAGGCTGCCCAGGGCCCCATCCAAGCTGGCCTTGAACACCTCCAGGGACGGGGCATCCACAGCCTCTCTGGGCAGCCTGTTCCAGTACCTCACCACTCTCTCTGTAAAGACTTTCCCCCTGACATCCAACCTAAATCTCCCCTCCCTCAACTTAAAACCATTTCCCCTTGTCCTGCTGTTATCAACCCTTTCATAGAGTTGATTCCCCTCCTGTTTGTAGGTTCCCTTTAGGTACTGAAAGGCTACATTGAGGTCACCCCGCAGCCTTCTTTTCTCCAGGCTGAACAAGCCCAGCTCCCTCAGCCTGTCTTCATAGGGGAGATGCTCCAGTCCCCTGATCATCTTTGTGGCCCTCCTCTGTTTTACCCTTTTTTATGGTTCTGGAAACATGGCTTTTAGCAACAGTGTTGAACACAAATAAGTAGCTGCAACTATAGGTGTAATGCTATTGCAGATGTAGATATCCTTGAAAAGAACAAATTAAAGGTCCTCCACTTGTTTGCTGTAACTCAGTGATGAGAGTGGTGCACATCTGCAGAGTGTGTGATAGCACACTTAAGAAGGGTCAGTATATGCCTGATTTATCCTACTTCTCCATAGGCATCCATTAGTGGCCTCTATCAGAAGCTGCATGGCTGCTTTCCATTTGTCCAATGGATCTTTGGGCTGAACCAGTGCTTTAATTATTAAATCTGTGTTTATTACATGTGTTTAAACTGTAAAGGAAAAATGTTTAGTTCCACATATCTACAGTCTTCTTTGATGCAATCATGTTCCTGTAGACAGGAGTAAGCCTGCATGGGTGTGTATATTTAGATATCTATGCTACCTTGCGAGCTTGCCATGCAAATACATGTGCAGCATAGAAGACTAATTGCTATTTTATTTTTTCTCATATTTCAGTTAATATTTCAGAATTGTTCATTATATTGGCATCCATTCTGTTTCAGGAGCTCTGCAGCCATCTTACAAGTAGCAAAAAACAGGGTACAGATCAAGGCCCTGTTGATGATGATTGCATGCTGAGTGAATGCTGCCTGCCGAGTGATGGTTGCTCCCTGAATAGCGAGTTGCTTCATGGCGCAGTCCTCATAAACATGGCTTCAGAGAGCTGTAGAACTGGTAGGATCCAGCTTCCCCTTGCCTTCGTGTCACACGCCTGACATTTGGTTATGTGCAAACCTGAACAGAAGCTGTCCCACACCTGGGGCATTTGCTGGCATCTAACAATGGTGAAGTAGTGCTGCACTGTTCACCCCTATAGCCAGCTGCCTGTTGCTAGCAAGTAAGGCAGGAACTTCTTTGACTACAGTATTTGTCCCCTTGCCTGAGTCCCAATTCTTGCAATTCTTCTAATAGAACTGTTGTGGAGTTCACAAGTTCTTTTAAATCAGTTGGAAGACAAGAGTACTCACATCCTCTGTGGCAGCTTATCTCTGCCATGGTAGCTATCTGCCCCAGTCATGCACACTTATTAAAAAACTTTCATGGAGGAAATCTCATCTATTTTTAATTGTATATAAAGTAACCATCCGCTCTGAATTAGTTGCCTAATCTTCTGCAAACAAGAGACAGGTGCTACCAAAGTAATGATTCATCTTTCCCTAGTACAGGTACATTTAGAGAGAGAAACCTCATCTCTCCTTGCTGGTTTTGAGGAAAGCTCATGGCTATATCCTGTTCAGGAGCTCTTTGGTGCTCATTGGTCTTGTGGTACAAATAGGCTCCTTGACTCTGACACAAGCAAGAATGGCCTTATTGAGTCAAACCGTGCATCCTTCCAGCTGTGTGTCTACCAGCTCCTGCCTCTGAGAGCTATGAGCCCTTAGCTCGTTTGCTGGGGTCACAAGTTCTAGCTTCTTTATCAAATCATTTCCTTTCAAGAAGTCATAGGCCCAATTCTCAGAGTTTTCTTTTCCCTCTCCACTTCTTAGTTCTCCACTTGAGCATGTGTCCTTCACACTCCAGTGCTTTATTTTTAATTCTTCCTTGTAATCCTGTTTTCTTTTTTTTCAGCTGTCCCTTTCCAGAGACCTTTATTGGATTGGGTAGTAGGAAAGACTGTCTGAAAACACATGCCTAAATGGATGTGTAGGAAACTTGACATGTTTAGCCAATTCTTTCAGCTACCTCAACTGTTTGCAGCTTGGAGGTCTGCTAGATTCGCCTTTCCAGAATTTAGGTAATAGTGGGATACTTGGGCTCCTCATTCTAATTTCAGAGCAGAACCCCTGTCCTGGATGAGCTGAGGGAGCTAGGAGTCATGCAGCTCCGGTAAGTGGCTGAGAGGAATGGGTGTCAAGCCATGTGCAATATCACTGCCTGTAATATGTGCATTGAAAAAAGCAGATGTGGCAAAACAAGCTGTCGGATAGGTAAAACCATATATACCTAAGTTATGGTTCTGACAGCCATTAATCATCCTGCTTCTGTCTATTCACTGTAACAAACATGCCAGATGTCCACTTCACTTGGGAGGCCCATGCGGAACTGAGGCTAACAGCTCTCCAGGGTTTGTCAGCGCAGTAAAGACGATGGCCATCTGAGTTTGTCTTGCTGTGTTCTGCATCATCCACTGTGCATGAAATTTTGTGTGCCAATTTGAACAAGCAATGCTATAGAAGAGAAAGCATAAAGACAAATCACAATGAGCTGTATTAAGACAAATCTGGTAAGCTGTAAGGGTTCCAAAGCAGCTCTTCTGGCTGGAACTTAGGTGGCATGAAAGCTCTCGTTTAGGCAGTACTTCTCAATTGTACCCCTGAGTGGTTATTGCCTCCTCTAGAAATTGCCATGCGCAGCTTAAGTTCTTTCCTTTTCATAAAACCAGGAGAATAACACCTGCTATTGGCCAGTGTTAGAGAGACAGTATTATTATGTGAGACAGAATTTTGGCCCATCATTCTGCTTTTCTGCTTGAACAAAAAAACCTCTAAACTTTTAGTACTTATGAAAGCTGGAAGGGATTGTGCTGAAATACTGCCTTCCTTGGAGCGGCCAGTGGGTTTAACTTCTTTAGAAATGCAAGTTCTTGGTGTAGAATCTGTACCTTTTTCTAATCAGATACTGCTAAGGATGTGTTACAATTTTGGGGAATTTGTGATCAGTCATGAAATGGATAAAAATCAAACTATGATATGTAGACTTCTATGTATTTGCAGAGCTATTTCAGTGCTTCCTCATTTTGTAAATTACCACAAACACCAGAATATTGGGAACCTAGCACATAAAAATGAAAATAACTATGCTTCCAGAATCAGTTGTTCCCCTCCCATTTGTTTTTTTGGGAGGTCCCAGTGGCTGTGATTTTGAATATAGGCCACAAATAGCACGCTAACCTAAAAATTGTCTTTGCTCGCATGCTCGCATTCCAATACTAAAAGCTGCTTCTCTGGCTTTTTTTTTTTCTTTTTTTTTTTTTCCATGTTGCAATTAAAAGCAAACATAGCTACAGGTAGTTAGTACTAACTTCAAAAAGCCTTTTTGTTGTGGAGTGGCTCAACACAGGGAGTATCTGTGGCTACTTGTAATGCAACAAACTCTTCTTTTGAGAGCCCACAACGTTTATAGGTCTTTCACCACTTACAGTGATTTACTGCTCTGTTTG